GGGGGACAGATCCTCATAGGAGACAGATTTTCATGCTACACCGGAACGGCACGGGAACACCGCGAGAGGAACGCGCGGCGCAAAGGTAAGTGAATTGACACAGGGGGGACTTGGGGACTTAATATGGGGGATGAATTAATATGGGGAATGAATTACTATAGGGGGGATGATTTACTATGCTTACTATGGGGGAATATTACTATACTTACTATGGATGACACATACACATCATTCATCTACTCTTGGTCCGGCCCCCGGGTCCAATATATGAACCCATTGCGGCCCTCAAGTCAAAAAGTTTGCCCACCCCTGGTTTAGTAACATGAAGCTTATGGTTAGTGGGCTTTAGGGATAGCTGCTTTCTCTATAACCAAATTGTTGCTGTTAATACTAGGTTTTCATTTGCTCTTATATTTGTATTTCAGCTGTGAGTTTTTAATGCAACTAATAGCCACTGCTACTGTGAGGAGTCTTCTACCATGGTTTGTATTTCTTTCAATATTTGTCAATTTTTTGGGGGGGTGTCACCTATTTCTGATTACAACTTGGGCTTTACAGATGATTAGTGTATTATTTTGTTATAGATTGATAACATAGATGTGACATACTGATAAATCCTCCTATTATTTTATATGTGCTGGGATAGTAACAGTGCTGTGATGTATGGTATACTTCTATTGACAGACACACTGGCTTACATTTTCCACAGCAGCAAACTTTGAGAAAGCCCTTTAGAGCCAGATGTAGATGGGTAGTGGATACAGTTTACCAGGATCTGTTTTTTGATGAGAAAAAGCCATGCCAATTCATCCCAACAAAACTGATCTCACCAAAAATGCAGCATGCTGGACTATAGTCATGTGTATACAGTATGCATTTCTTGCTGCAACTGGGCAAATCTCACAGAATATCTACTTGAGAGCGGAGCATAAGACAATATATCAAAAGTAGAGCAGCTGTGCAGTGTAACCAAATAACGTTTATTTTCACAGCTTATCTGAACAAGCTGAGGCTAGAATCTTATTAACTACTATCAAAGTTTGCTCCAGTCTTGATAAATTTCCACCATAGTATATAAGATGTCCAAAGTCCACTGTGTTCAATATTCATTTACCTTTGCTCCAATAGTTATAGTCGGTTTGGCTGGAAAAAAAAGACTAAAGTCCATCCAGCTCAACCATAAAAAAGTTATAATCCTACATCTACAGTTGATCCAGAGGAAGGCAAAAAAAAAAAAAAAAAAACCCCAGCAAAGCAAGACAGAACTTGCTCCCACAGGGTAAAAACTTGCTTCCTGATCCCGAGAGGCAATCGGATATTCCCTGGATCAACTTTACCTATAAATGTTAGTATCCAGTTATATTCTGTGCATCTAGGAAAGAATCCAGGACTTTTTTAAAGCAATCCTTTGAGCTGGCCAGAACCAACTCTTAAAGTCTATACCACATCTTCACAGCTCTTACTATGAAGAAACCTTTCCGTATTTGGAAATTAAATGTCTTTTCCTCCAGATGTAAAGAGTGCCCACTTGTCCTCTGTGATGACCTCAAGGTGAATAGCTCTACACCGAGTTCACTATATGAACCACTGCTGTATTTATACATGTTGATCATATCCCCCCTTAATCTCTTCTCAATAGAGATTAAATTCACTTCCTCTTATCTCTCCTCATAGCTGATCTCCTCCATGCTTCTTATCAGTTTGGTTGCCCTTCCTCCAGTTCCCCAATCTCCTTTTAGTGAATTGGTGCCCAAAACTGAACTGCATATTCCAGATGGGGTCTTACTAATGATTTGTACCGGGGTAATATGATCTCTCTCTCTCTGGAGTCTATACCTCTTTTAACCACCTCTTGTCCGGCCATTGTATATAAATGGCCAGACAGTGGCAGTGCAGGGTCAGGTGGTCGTTTATAGAGGGCCTCCCCGCCCCTGCCTGTGCGCAATCCAGGGCACTGATGATCAGTGTAGCCCCAGCAGTGCCACCTGTCAGTGTCCATCAGTGCCAGCTCTCATCCATGCCACCTGCCAGTGCCCATCAGTGCCACAAAAATGCCACATATCAGTGCCCATCTGAGCTGCCTTTCAGTGTCACCCATCAGTGCTGCCTTTCAGTGCCCATCAGTGATGCCTGTCAATGCCCATCAGTGCCACCTACCAGTGACTCCTCATCATTGACACCTATCAGTGCCCATCACTGCAGCCTCATTAGCACACATTAGTGAAGGAGAAAAATCACTTATAAAATTTTGTAAATAACAAAAAATAAAAAAAACGTTTGTTTCAAAATTTTCAGTGATTTTGGTTTGTTTAAGAAAAAATAAAAACCCAGAGGTGATTAAATACCACCAAAATAAAGCTCTGTCAAAAAAAAAGATAAAAATGTCATATGGGTAGTGTTGCATGACCGCACAATTGTCAGTGTGACAGCACTGAATGCTGTAAATTGGCCTGGGCAGGAAGGGGGTATAAGTGCCCTGTAGGCTAGTGGTTAAGCTTGTGATCTACCAGAAGTCCCAGATCCTTCTCCACCATCGATTCCCCAGTCGTACTCCCCCCTAGTATGTATGATGCATATATATTCTTAGCCCCCAAGTGCAGAACCTTACATTTATCAACATTACACCTCATTTGCCACATAGTTGCCCAATTAAACAGTGCATTGAGGTCAGCTTGTAAGTTGGAGACATCCTGTAAAGACGTTATTCCACTGCACAGCTTGGTGTCATTTGCAAAGACTGAAATGGGATATTTAAACCCAAACCCTATCATTTATAAATATATTTAAAAAAGGGTCCCAACACTGGTCTAGGGCTGTCAGTGGTGTACCCCAAGGTTCAGAGTATGAATCATTAACCACTACTCTCTGAATATGATGTTTTAGCCAGTTTGAAAACTTCTGTTTTTCATGAATCCATGCTGTCTGTTGCTTAAAATATTTTCTATGTGGTCTCCAGTATCTTCCCAACAATAGATGTTAAACTAACAGGTCTATGATTACTTGGTAAAGATTCTGATCCCTTTTTATAGACACCACATTGGCCTTACGCCACTCCAGTGTTACTATGCCAGTCATTAAAGATTCCCTAGAAATTAGAAACAATGGCTTTGAAATTACAGAGCTCAATTCTTTAAGGACACATGGGTGTATGCCATCCGGTCCAGGTGCTTTATTCAGTCTAAGTATTTCTGGATTATATCAGTTGTGAGCCAATGTGGATCATCTGGGGCTATGTCAGTGTTTCTCAACTCCAGTCCTCATGGACCCCCAACAGGTCATGTTTTCAGGATTTCCATTATTTTGCACAGGTGATTTGATCAGTTTCACTGCCTTAGTAATTACCACAGCTGTTTCATCTGAGGGAAATCCTGAAAACATGACCTGTTGGGGGTCCATGAGGACTGGAGTTGAGAAACACTGGGCTATGTTAACACCGTGGCCATTATGGACAGCTCTTAGCCTTGGAAAGTTTGCTCTTAAAAGTTGAGCATTTTTATTTTTCCCAGAGGTGCTTTTTTTTACAGCCACCAATAAATGAAATCATGTTATGGTTACTGCTACCTAGTTCTTATATATGGACATTAGTAATAAGCTCTGCATGGTTTGAGAGTACCACGTCCAGCAGAGCATCTTTCCTAGTTGGGGCCTCTATGAACTGTACCATAAAAATTGTCCTGTAGCAGGTTTATACATTTTTGCCCTTTAACTGTTCCTGCAGTACCATTACTCCAGTCAATTTCCAGGAAGTTAAAATCCCCCATAATCACTGTCCCAGCCCTTGCGATCTGTGCAAGGAGCGGAATCTCCACCTCCTCATTAATACCAGGTAGCCTATAACAAACTCAGATTACCTTTGTAGTACACACCCCCATGTGCAATTCCACCCATAATGTCATGAGGTGTCAATGACACCTTGTGCACATGTATTTTTGTAATTTTCATACAAAAATGGTACCAATTCCAATGGTTGTTTGGAATATGGGAACCTTCTCATCACCAGCAGTAGCACTCCCCACATGCCGAACCCTGGCACCAGGGAGACAGCAAACCATTCGGTTGAGGTGATCCTGACAAAATTATTCTATCAGTTCTTCTGATTCTAGAATCCCCTATTACCACCAACTGTCTAGGCCTTCCTGCACTACCCTCACCACTCCTCCCAAATGGTCTGCTCTCCCACCTGTTAGGGATAGCAGTGACATCCAGGGCTGCCACCCCCATATCTTCACCCAACTTGGCAAATCTCTTTGGGTGCTCAAACACCAGGGCTGAGCTTCCTTTTCTGTGAGCCCCTACCACTCCCTCCCGCTACAGTAAACCATCTTCCTACCTGATAATCCCGACTAGCCCCTCCACATCCATCTCATTAGCTACCCACTCAGAGCAGAAGACCCCTTTCTAGGTAGTAAGTTCTGCCCAGTGTTACAACTTGCTCCTTCAGATCTAACGCAAACTTCCACAAGGGCAACCTGCTCACAACTGTCGCAGTGGTATTGATCCTGGAGCTGTTGCTCCATTGTTGCATATATGCGGTACACTGTGCAATGCACAAAACCTTCAACCTTGCTAGCACTCATATCCCAGTTACAATATTACTAATAGAAAATATCAGTTGTCACAGGTTAGTAGACTCCTGTTATCCCATTTTCAACTCCATTTTTTTTTTAACTCCACTTAAACATCCTTTTTGCCTATATTTCTGTTGCTGGACATTTGACAATGTTTAGTGATCACAGATAATTTGTCATTGTAACCAACAAGCTGCTTTTTTTATGATCTCAATTTCACATCCTTAATACTTGAGAAATAGTTCAATGACATACCAGTTCTAGTGTTCCAAACCCAGGAAGGAGGTGACTATATAGCACACTAAATCACTAAGATTTAAAATTAACTTGGTGAGAGGAAAAAATACCCACACTCAAAACACACCTAGAAAAACCAAGTGCTTTAATCAATCAAGACAGAACAGTGCATGAGGAATGGGGGGGGGGGGGGTGTCACATGCTGCACTCTCTCAACTTAACATCTGCTTGTTTGAGAGAAATCCAGGTGTTCAAGGTGCAGGAACGTAGCTTGGACCATATCAAGTGATTGTTCAAACCAAATATCTGAGCGGCAAACTGAGCTGCTGCCTCAGGTGACAGAACCGTAGAACATCCAAGACCTGCAGCAGGATAGACAGGTACAGCAAAATTAAACACTTTTCTGGTTTATTAAAAATAATTTTTAATCATAAGACCTGGTTGGCTGCTTCTTAGCAGTGTACATGCATTTCTCTTACCACTGGGCATCCTCAGGGAAGACCAAATATCTTGAGCTCCCCAGTCTGCCGCAAGAGGGGGGCAGTTAATTACAGGATATGCAGTGTTTCCAGAAAGAACAGGACCCAAACCGTTGCTTCTGCCAGCAACTGCAACAAACACCGTGGGAATACCATCACCTAAAGAGTGAAGTACATAATGTGTAAGGCATTGCAGCACCAAGGAGGTTTCAGATTTATGAAACTGCAGCAATAAAATCATGTAATGAAAAGGAGACGAGGACAGTGTCAAGATCTGTATTTTTGAAATGGTCGTACTCAAAGGCCTACTCTAGTGTCGTGTCCTTATACAGCTACCATAACACGCTCAATTGCTGTGATTCATGTCTGTAAATTGCAGTGACACCAGACTTCCACAATATAACCTAAAACAAGAGGTCAAGCATAAAAATAAGTCAAACTCCAGCCAACTTTTTTTTTTTTTGTGCATAGACCTAGCAAAAACATTTCAGGAAAAACAACACACACACACACACACACACACACACACACACACACACACACACACACCCTGCCAGAGCTTCCGAACACCCCTTCCCATTTTACTCTCCCCCCCCCCCCCCCCAACACACAAAATATCCTAAAGTCTCCATAAAGCGTGGAATACTTGCAAGTATGCCACATTTCTTTTTAGAGGTGAAGAGACCCCACTCAAGCAAAAGTGGTAATTTTCAGATGGAGGTGGGCCATCTTACCTTCATACTCAGACTTGATCCTCAAAGTCTCATCAGGACCCTTGTGGGCAGATGTCACCCTGAGCTCACATGGAATGCCGTAGTTTGCACAGGATTTCTTGATTTTCTCACAATGCACCAAGTCAGAAATGGAGCCCATCAGAACCACCACCCTTCCTTGGCTCACACTGGTCAGTATGAGCTGAAAAAAAAAAAAAAAAAAAAAGTGTATATATCAATATAGATCCTCCCCCCAAGTCAGCAACAGCACAATTAAAAACTTCACTAACTAGGAGGTACAGCATACAGTAAATGATTACCAGCCAAAATTATCTGTAATTTTGTTTAGCGTCAAATTCATGAAAGTTATGTGCTTCTACTACACGCCAAAAGCAGTATCATCAATACACCACACTGAAATTTAGCTTATTGCCTTATTAGACAACTGCAACATTTTAGATCCCTTATGAAGCGAGTTGGCTGGAGATGGGAAGGTGACATATGAAGCTGCACTGATGAATCAAATGTGTGTAACCCGACTGCCGGTGTAGTGTGGCAGATGTGTGCAAATCACAAGACTAAACCAGAATTACAAAAAGTCAAGTATTAAGACTGAAAGCTAAGAAGTCCAGGCAAACCGCTAAATTAAGGTCATGGTAGGCAAAAAAAAAAAAAAAAAAAAAACACCACACAAACATAGGAGGGGTGGGAATATTTATATTGTAGTAGACCTGGCAGGAGACCAGTTCTATAGCTGCACTGCAGAACTTCATCTAGAACAGAAAGTCATAAGTTACATCCTCCTCATTAACAAAATACCAAAAGTCACCCTGCAATTTCCCCAATAGCCAATTAAAAACCATTGCCATTCTAACAAAATGGACAGAAAAATTTCCATATTCTAAAGCAACCATTGATAGCAACCATTTTTCTTACCTGAACCCTCTCAGCAACCCACTCGAAGTTGCGTTTCACCATCTGCATCGCTTCTGGGGTGATTTCTTTTAGATCCCGGTAAGTCTGCAGCAAACACATAGGTTACCATAAACATCTTCTAAGACTAGTTTAAGAATGATTAAAAAAAAAAAAAAAAAAAAAAATTAACTCAAAATGTATTGCACATTTTGGGAGAAATCAGCACTGTGACTTGGAAGCAATGTACTGAAGGGATTAACAGCAGAACATTTTGACCTAAATATGGTTAATTTTAAGGTGGTTTTCAGTGAGTTTCTTCAGACCACGAACACACAAAGATAGCATACAAAAAAAAAAAAAAAAAAAAGTGTATCTTAATCCATTTGCAGTCTCTTCTCAACACCCAGTCCACTGACATGTCACTTTGGGCATCACACTTGGCCTGTAGAAAAGATGGCATAATATTTTCTCTTACAGCAAGCATGTGCAACACAGGAGATGACCAAGTCTGTCATACTCCCAATATTCCAAACCCATCTGGCAGGTCAGGATTTGCCCTGAAGAGTTATAGAATTACGGACTATGTAAAGGTTCTGCATCCTTTGGGAAATGTTTGATACTGGTTAGTAAAACATTGTCACTAAATGTAATGAATGGTAAGCTGCAATACATTCAACTTTTGTTCTTAGATTTGTTTTTGTGCACATCCTTATGGGTGCAGAAGTACATACAGCATGCAAGAGCTGATCCTGCACAACATTGAGCTGCATGCAGACAGCCTGTCAATGGAGAAGCAGCAGCTGTATGGACACACACACACACGGGTGTGAACATCCCTGTCAACTCAGAAGTGTGGGTGAATCCATTCAACAGTTGCATCTCCATTGTCCAACATAAACTGCCTGCGTTCAGCTCCACACGCATACTGTAAGGGCATTTGCATCTGTGTAGATGAGCCTCAACTCAAACAGTTATGTCTTCAGAGCTTCACATACTAGCCCTCTAACTGGAAGGGACAGCATTTCCTTTACCTGTTTATCTTTCTGTTGGCTCTTATCTCCTGAAGGCCACAGACGCCAGGAATCATTGTCAATCACATCAGCAAGAACAATCTCCTTTTTGGTCACATCAACTCCAAATTCAATCTAGTGTACATACAGAAGATAGAAAACAATATTTGATGTTCAACTATAGATTACTCATTACAATTTTTTTCTCTTTATCTTCAATACAAAACACTTATCCGAAAGATGTTGACACGACTTTCCCTTTCCCTTGCTGTTCTGTATTCTTGGATCATTATATTTTTATATACACATTAGTAAAACACTCCTTGCGATCTTTTGTATATTGGGGGAAACAGATTGGCAGAATGGTTTAAAGAGCAAATTCCAGCCAATAAAGCAAAAATGCAACTGTACTATAATGTGAAAGTTCACTTTGTTTACTGAAAATAAATAATCCACTGCAGCCAGATTCGAGAAAGCCTTTCAATATATAATGAGTGGGTCCGCTTCCTGAGCCTGTAACTTCCTCTTAGCATATGATATTACCAGAATCAAACTTCTACAGCATTTCAAAGTTTGATTTGGGCAGTAAGGCACCTCTTCATACCAACACTTGAACGGATATCGCCATCTGCTATTCACCACAAAATGCAGGCAGTGATGTGGAGCCTGCAGTAAAGCCATAAAAAAAAAAAAAAAAAAATAAATGCAAAATGTCAGCAGGGTGCCTGCAGATATTTGGAAATCACTGTGCTGTGTCACAAACATACAGAATCCTGGCAAAACAAAGCATGGGGCCTGGTGCGCTACAGCCACATGTGGATAAAAAAAAAAAAAAACTAAAGTCCTGAGCAGGTAGCTTGTGCTACCTGTATTTCAAGGCTTTGTTTTAAATTTAAGAATTTTACATTAATGACAGTTGAGAAAAGCTAAAATGATCTGTTTTCAGTCACATCAATCCTGACCTGTAGAACTAAAGCAGTTACTGTGCAGCATTGTAAGAAAATTCCAGAAGAACACTCTTCACACAGCTAATTAACCTTGCTAGCAAACAGGTATATATGGTTTCTGTTGCATAGGTCAGTAGCCAGACCTAAACCTAGCAGCTCTCCCCCACTTTGTGTCTGTTTGCCCCAGGTTGGGATGGTGTTCACAGTAGCAGCTGCATTGGCAGAGCAGACTAGCACTGACCAAAGAGGGATTACGTTGATGCAGTTGGCCAGGATAAACATGTATTGTATGTGTGAACTAAACATTCCTATATTTATTGCAAGGTTTGCTGGAAATGGTAATTAGTAGTGTGCAGAGGGTTCCTATGGGATTTCTAGTGTTACTATGACTACACCCCCCCTTTAGCACCTAATAGATAAATGCATGTACAAGCTATTGCGATTTGAGCACATATCTTGTTTCAGTATTGTAAAGTCTGCAGTTCTCTAAAAATAAAAAAAAGCATGTCAGAATCGCAAAATATCCCATCTTTTATACAAGAAAAAAGGCACAAACATACCTTCATATCCACCAGTGTACAGTCCTGTATAGACCATGCTTTCTCTAGAATCTCAAAGATAGCCACTGTAGAATGCTTCATGATGTCCACCTCCGCCTGACCAGTCACAAGGCCAGCACAAGTAAGCTTTGCAGCAATTAGCTGCTCTTCAGACCACTGAGGGTCATTATTGGCATCATCCTGCATTTAAAAGAAATACCATGCATATTAGTGAAATTAAGAAAACAGAACTAGTGACTGCAGCCTAAGAAAAGTGAACAGAAATTTAGCACACCTTGAAGAACATCTCTACTTTGGGAGGATAAAACTTGTATCCTTCTTTGACTCCAGGATTTCTCTTGAGGAAGGAGCCAGTGGCTATTCTCCTGCATACCCACTCGATAGGAATCATCTCACAATGGGTGGCAATGAATCCTGTCTCACTACACTTCTTGACAAATGCAGTCTTGATACCTGAGAGACAAAATACCACAGCCACAGTTAGGCAGGGGGAAGTTATTCCTAGGACTCATTTGTTTTCATGCAAATATATACGCTTGAGCTACTGCGCTTTGTATACAAGACTCTCAGCCTGGCAAACTTTTTTTTTTTTACTTATCTTAGAGTCATTCCAACCTTAAAATAAAAAGAAAGCAACCTAATATTTCCTTAAAAAAAAAAAAGCAGTTTCCAAACTAACAGAACCTACATTTTGCCTCAGCCAATGCTCAGTACATATTTGCAGGACCACAGCAAGTGGGTGCAAGTATATTGCAGCAAAAAGTTGTTCCAAGTACATAAATTATGCAATTCTCCTGACAAATAATTTTTATGATGGCATAAGTCATGGCTTGTCTTTCCAAAGACATAGGGAGTTAGACTGGCATCAGAAGCAGCACCTATTACAATACCTTTTCTATTGGTGGTGCAAATATACTTCCTATATGCACAGTGCCATCTAGTAGGAAAGGGGTGAGACCAATCAAGGAAGGGAGGCAAGGGATCCAGGGTTGTATACATTTTTGGTATGCCAGAGCATCAAGCCAGCAACGAGAGGAACACTGAAATGGGCATCCATGCCGTTTCTGACAAACAGCATAGCTCAAAGTTCAGTGTTCCTCTCATTGCTGGCTTGATGCTCTGGCATACCAAAAATGTATACAACCCTGGATCCCTTGCCTCCCTTCCCCTTTATTGATCTCACCCCTTTTGCTACTAGATGGTACTGTGCATATATTAAGTATAATATTTGAGCTATGCTGTTTGTCAGAAACGACATGGATACTCAATACAGCTTCTGGGGTCCACATGGCTCCAATAGGGGACAGTTTAGATATAGTGCTGTTAATTAGTGGTGCACAGAAACAACAATTCTGTTGCTGAAACCAATATATACAGTATTTCACTGAATAGAGTACATCCCTCCCATTTTTGTAAATGTTTTTTTATGTGACAACACTGAAGAAATGACACTTTGCTGCAATGTAAAGTAGTGAGTGTACAGCTTGTATAACAGTGTAAATTTGCTGTCCCCTCAAAATAACTCAACACAGCCATTATACAAGCTGTATGCTCACTACTATACATTGCAGCAAGATGTCATTTCTTCAGTGTTGTCAGTGTTGACATGAAAAGATAGAATAAAATATTTACAAAAATGTGAGGGGTGTACTCACTTCTCTGAGATACTGTATTTTTTTTTATATATAATTGTATTCATATTTGACTTAATATCATTAATTTAAATGAATATGAATTGAAAAGATACAATCCAGAAATGTAAAATAACTTCTAGAAAGTAACACAAAATTGGACAGAAAAATAAAAGCCCAGCGACGCCACCACTAATGACAGGAATGCACAATCATGAAGCCCAGGCATCCCTACTGCACAATCGTGCTGCCCACCTCCCCTGAAGGAGGAGGAGGTAGCATGCCCCATGGTTCCCCAGTGAGATGGAGGCAAGGCGGACCCAAGATGTCACAGCTACACCTATTCCCTTCATGCACACCCAATGGACAGCTGGTAACAACCAAATTCCTGCTTGCCACAACAGAGAAGCCATTATCGGCACCTTTTTTCCTGTGGCAAAATGCAGATAGCACTATTTTTGGCCACTGATAAATTGGTGCATCCCTACTGTTAGACAAGTTCCATTCAAACAGCTACAATTAACCAACTCATTTGCACAGATTTTTCATCTATTGCCCCACAGTGGTCACAAGTGTGTGTATGTAATTCAATTACTGTATTGAAGAGAGCAGTTTGTCCCAAGCAAATACTCACAGCATGGATCCCAATTTAGTCATTTCCTTCTTGGAAATAAAAAGGAATATTGTGGTTGCTTGAATAGGTCAGTTGTGTAAGATGTCCTCAAGTCAACCCAAAAGATAACAGATTACTTCTTTCAAATCAAGAATTAAAGTGCTGGGAGTCCATCCAGCATATCTATCCAATAACATTGAGCACGGAGGGGTGGATGTGTGTGTGAACCTTACTCCATTATATCAGCGTCATAAGATCTCAATTAGAAGTTCACCAACAACCCACTTTACTAGTCAGTAATAGACATCAATGGGTCTTTTATTAACTCAGGTACCCACAGACACATGGGTTATTTGTTGAAATATTTTATTTTGTGCTCAACCAACAGTTGTAGGCTGAAGGAAGTCCTCTAATTTTAGTGGGTTAACCATAGAAAAGCTGAAAGCAAATCAGCATGTAGGCTCCTGTAGGTGAGATCTGAACTGCTAATCGGCAAGAGAAGACCAGAGTCTGATAATTGTTTTAAAAATTGAGTAGAAAACCTAACAAACACAATAATATCAATAAATAACAATGAGGGCTATTGAAGACAGTAAACATACACTATGTGATAATTCTTACCCGCTTCTTGAAGCAGTTTGAAGACACAGCTGGTGGTCTTATTAGAGATGGAGGCTTTTCCCTCCATGTGATCCTTCCTGGCTGCATTCCCTGCTGTGATCTGATCCTTGGACTGCATGAGAACACATCCAGGGTGATCAGGCAGCTCGTACACTTCTTTAGTTTTGCCCTCATTGATCTTCCTGCCAAGTCTCAGTTCTTAAAGAAAAATAAAATGTGTAAATTGTGCAAATCAAATAAATGAGCATTAAGCAACATTTACAAACATCCATTTTTGTTTGCAAAGTAAACATGACCTACAGGCCAGCCCAGACAAGCCAAGCCTACAGGGTCATTGCCATCAGGCTTGACACATGTGCTCGGGTGTGCTCCATTTCAGAAATTGCCAAACAACTGGTCCTGGGAAGCCCAGAGAGTAAGGCTCTATCTTTCTTTAGCATTTAGGGGAGGACTGTTTGAAGACCTATTTGAGTCTTAGTAGTAGAAGTGTATTTGAATACAATTGTAATGTATTGTACCTCTCCTCCATTCACTCATAATGTGCTCAGAAGTATTTTTTTTTGTTTTGTTTTAATCCTCACACATTATAGTTAACTAGGTGGATGCAGCATCGATCTGATCCTGCATCTGCCCCCACTGGCTTTGCACAGAGAGCTGAGTGATCAAACACCACTGATTGCTCAGATCTTGGAGCAGAGAGCTGTGACTGTCTGTATCAGGGTCTCTGCTTTTCCCCTCCAGCACTCACTGGAGCGCTGGTCTGTGAATCAGGTGGGATGGGCTGGCTCAGGCTATCAGTGGATCGCTGAGAGGCTGGGTCAGGTGTTTGTGGCCCTTCTGGGTGGATCCCGACCGCGTGCACTAGCTCTGACATCAGTGGGCTTTAGCACACTGTTTGCAGTTCTTACTGCACTCCTGTGACCTGTTTTGAGCACTCCTGTCATCCATAGGAGAAGTATAGCCAGAAGAGCTTTGGCTATACTTCTTTAAAGCCTTCACTGTGAACCTGTCCTGTTCTAAAACATTTTCTAAAAGGTAACAAGTGTGAGGAGCAGGCACCTAGTGTACTAGCAAGTAGCCTATTTTTTTTTTTTTTTTTTTTAATTAGTCCCTGTAGAACACCTAGGATTGTAGATCTAAGCTGTACACAACATCTTGACTTTTGTGAAAGTTAAGATAAAGCCCCACCCCTTCTACTGAACCACATCCATTGTTCAATTTTCATATGCCAGAACCTCTACTGCCCACAGAATATCTTGCATTTAACAGATGAATGAAAAAAGGGCTCCAATATGCACTTTAGAAGTCAAAGTGGCAAGAACAGACCAGGTCTAGGATCCTAGGGGCTCCCAGACATAAGGATTTAAATCCCAAGAACACCACAGAGACACTTCAATACATCGGTTACTTTGTTTTAGATCAGGTCAGGTTCACTTTAATATAGACCGGTTTGTTGCGATGAACTGTCATCGGTTGTGTGTTACCCCAGCCCCCTTCTTCCTTCTCTGTGTGCTCCTAATGCATCACAGAAAAAAAAAAAAAAAAAGCCGCTAACCTAGCTTTTCTTCTCCAGCACAGTTCTGCTCCCTTTGTGGTCTCTGGAAATTCACCCCAAAGATCCAGCAAGTGTGTCCCTGGAATGCATAGCCAGTGCAACACCTGGTCTGCTGGCAGAAGCTATACCACACAGGAGTTCAGATCTGGCTGGAATGGAAAGGATCTAAGAGCAATAGTATCTAGCAGCTTGGGGGCAGGAAAACAAAGTTCAATGTCTTTCTGTGGAGACACTGGTGGGCCCCTTGCCTTTTTAGACTGAAGCAATCCTGATCTGTAGCCATACTAATTTATGGCAACTAACAGATTCAGCCTGCACTGCATCAGTGCAAACCTAGGTTAAATCTCAGATGTGCAAATCCCTTCTCAGGTTAAGGCTCCATCCACATCTCAGAGTAGCAGCTTTCTGTGCGGTTTCAGCCTTTCGAGGTTTTTTGTTTTTAATTAGCCAATAAAGTAAAATATCATCTGTTACTAGGTTTTTTTGCTTCAGCTCTTCCATCAGCTTTATTATTTTGTGTTAGTGTGATAATAAAATGAATGTTAAAATATACATGTAATAAATAATTAGCCCCTAAAAAATATATTAAACAAATAAACATCTAAACAAAAAAAATATATTATGAATAAACATAAATGTAAAACAACTACACAATGAAAATCATAAATACTTGTAATAAATTAACTCATAGCCTTAACCCCCTAAAAAGTTATAAAATGATATTTGGTATTATTAATGTATTTTTGTTCGGGTGTTAAGAATAATAATCTCTCTTTTTTTAAGGTTCAGGGTTCATTAATATTTATGATTTTTTTTATATATGTAATTTATTTTACATATTACTACTTTTTATTTACCATTACATATTACTACTTTTTCTTTTAAAAAACATTTTCATTTGAGCAGAAAATCATACAAGCGTGCAAAAACACCCAATTGCATGTTTATATTCTTTTCTATGAGGGAAAAAAAAGCCAAAAAAAAAAAAAACCTGCAAATCTGCCCAACTGAAGTTACAAAAGTAGCTCCAAAACTTTGAGCTTCAGGCATTCTGCTTCAGGTGACTTGGAGTGAAGACCTGAACCATCTCCATAGAGTAATATTGAGGTTTTTTTTTTTTCCCTCTAAGCGTTTTGGAGCTTCGAGCTACAAAACGCTCAGGTGTGAATGAGGCCCTATGCACATGCTGTATCCTAGTCAGCAATTCTACCATCCTCTCAACCACCTGGCCATGATCTTGGTCTCCCTCACACTAGCTGCAGATGCCCCAACCCTCATGGTGGGCCACAGTGCCCCCGAGAGCCCTCAGCCACCACCCAGCTGCAAAACCTACAACAGCATCTCATAGCTGGCTACAGAACCTCCAACAGTACACCCCAGCCTCCCAGAGACCCCCATCCATCTTTCATTACAGGGCCACCAAGCCTGCTTCCCAGTCCCCACAACCCCCTCCACTGTGACACCCGGACATTCAATACACATTTTGTTCTCCGGGACTTTTACCCTAGGATCACATCTGTGAGGGTTTGGAATGCTTGCATAATGGTGCACATTCCTGCCCTGCAGGCAGAACTCCCTGCTCTATAGCAGACGCATGGGAGCGCCATTCATTCCTACCAGCACTGCCAAGCATCAGAAAATATGGCACATGGGTTCAGGGACTTCTTTTCCTGCAGGTACACATGCCCATTCCAATGAATTAGGGACAGCTCTTCAGGGGGGCTGATCTTGCTACTACACCGGGACCAATGACATGCACAGGACAGGAGCTTATTGTGGGAGGAGTCACTTTATTTTGCTGGACCTGATGCCACAAGGCTGCTAATCTCGCATCTACACAAGACACAGGCAGAGAACTTCTCACCAATCACCACACAGAACACTGTCCGCTGCCCACACATGTCACAGGCTGGCAGAGCAGTGTGATAGGGGAGGGGGGCACAGATCACATGACAAGTGTGTACAGAGGAGCCGACACGTGCTCACCCATCCCCGCTGTACTCACCGGAGCCCGCTTCCATCTTGATCCAAGCACACACTTCTCCCTGTAATGAGAACACACCACCGTCAGAACACTGCCACTGCTCCCTTCACATACACTGACAATGAACAGGACCCTACTCCTCCACCAATCACTTAGTACACGTGTCCCTGCCCCCAGGCCGGCTACCACACCACAATCACATGGCTGTGCTATTACCGAGCTGACTTCCGTACGGCAGGACCACCACTCACCACTGCAGGCACACAGCGCCGGGCAACGGACCAGTAAGGAAGGCCTCTGTTCCCGCCCCCTCCGCCTGCCCAATCCGGGCGTCAGTACGGGCGGACTCTCTGTCCCCGCCCCCTCTGACTGTCCAATTCCAGAATCAGTAAGGAAATCCTTTGTCACCGCCCCCTTACGTCTACCCAATCTCAGCGCTCTGTATCGTGTTCTCCCAGCGTACTGACATAGATAATAGATGCACTGATACTGGCGGGGAATTCAGAGCTCTGAACTTTGCTCTGGTTATATGAGGGGAGCTGCGTACTCCTATCTATAGGAGCCCCTCTATACGAGCCCCTCTATACATTCCTCTGGATACATTGCAGGGGGAGGGGCATAGAAGGTGTGCGAAGTTATTATTATACAGTATTTATAAAGCGCCAATAGTTCGCTCAGCGCTGTACATTATAATGGGGGACAGTACATGAGACAGTACAATACCAATACAGTGCGATGCACGAGGGGTTCAAGGGTCCTGCTCCTTGGAGCTTACAATCTAGGAGAGGGGATAGTGGCACAGGAGGAGATAGCTGTGGGGGATGGAGTGGTAGGAAGAGTGGAGGAGGTCGGCAGGTTAGCAGGGGGTGGGGTAGGCTTCCCTGAAGAGATGGGTTTTCAGGGTGCGCCTAAATGAGAGGAGAGTAGGTGATAATCTGATGGATTGGGGTAGGGAGTTCCAGAGGATGGGTGATTCCCTGGAGAAATCCTGGAGGTGGGCATAGGAGGAGGAGACCAGGGAAGTAGAGAGAAAGAGGTCTTGTGAGGAGCGGAGTGTGTGTGTTGGGTGGGTACTTGGATATTAGGTCAGTGATGTAGTTCGGGGCAGTATGATGGGCACCTTTGTACGTCAGTGTTAGGATTTTGAAGTTGATCCGTTGTGCAATCGGAATCCAGTGGAGGGATTGGCAGAGGGGGGTGGCGGAGATGGAGCGGTTGGAAAGGTGAATGATTTATACTTCATTTACTTCAGGGCCCAGGCAGGTCTAGGGGCCAGCCCAGTCACGCCAGGTGCCCACACATGTGCACTGTGGCCGGATGCTGCAGTGGCCATCTTGGATATGGACAAATAAGCTATTTTTCCCTCACTTGAATTCTTATTTTTTCCTTCCAGGATGGAGGAGGAGTTTCCCATTTCCTTTCCCCTTTCACTATTTAATCCCGGGAGCTTTAGTGTGGCTTCCTGCAGCTTCGGTGGAGGCGGCCTTGCGGAGATCCTAGAAGTACTGTCAGTAGTCATCTGTGGAAAGTCATTTTTTTTTTTTCTCACATGCACCCTCTTTTATCATTTCCTTTTTTTCCAAAAAAAAAACAAACAAAAACGCAGTAATCTAATCCTCTTCCTGTCTTATAGCTGCTCTTTTTGCCCTTTGCTTAAGATGAGCCATTCGCCGCCCGAACAAGACCCTCCTCAACTTCAAAAGTAAGAGCTTCTGGCTGGGTAAGTTTAGAAAAAAAAAAGTGTGCTGATGCTGGTACTTTTATGTATTTCAGTCCTGTACGCCAGAAGAGGTCCAAGAGGACATCCAGGTGCCATGATGAATCCAATGAAGGCAGCCCGATCTTCCAGATCCAGATACCAATCGACTGAGGCACGTTCTGCCAAAAGACGATGCTCATGCCCCAAGTCCTAGACCTCAAAAATGCCGGGCATGCAAAGCCACCTCTCTACCAGACAAGCTAGTGTGTGGAGACTGTTTCAGGGACTGTGCAGCGGAAAGAGGTGCAGAGAGCCAGCAGGTTGCGGACCTACTAAAAAAAAAAAGTGGTCAAAGATTCACTCGCAGAAATAGTAGCAGCTAATCCGTTGCAGCTATCATCACAGCTTCCTCAGGAAGAGGCATCAGACGTGCTACTACCAGGCCCATCCTCTAGCGCAGCGGTTCTCAACCCGGGGGTCGAACGACCATTTCACAGGGGTCGCCTAAGACCATCGGAAAACACATATTTCTGATGGTCTTAGGAACCGAGACACCGCTCTTCTGACTCAGGCGATGTGTGGGCGGGATGATACGCTGCTCCTGTCACCTGGCCACACCTCCGGGATCACTCAACAGCTCCGCCTCCTCGCCGCTGATTGGCCACCGGAACTGTAGCTCAGGAGAGGCACACAGGCGGCCAATCACCGGCGAGGAGGTGGAGCTTGGAGAGGAGGAGCCGAGCGGCAGCGCGCGTAGATCAAAGAAGATCGAGGGAGCTGCCGGAGTAAGTGAAGAGGAGAACGGCCAGAGAAGGAAGACAGCTGACAGGTAAGTGAGAGAGCGAGCCCAGGCTGGAGCAGGGGTCAGCAAGGTAAGTATCATTGGTGTCAGTGGGAGGAATAGTGCCCCATCATTTGTGTGACTAATACCAACAATGGGGCACTATTTCTCCCACTGACACCACTGATGGGGCACTATTCCTCCCCCCACTGACACCAACGATGGGGCACTATTCCTCCCCCCACTGAAACCAACGATGGGGCACTAGTCCTCCCCCCACTGACACCAACGATGGGACACTATTCCTCCCCCCACTGACACCAACGATGGGGCACTATTCCTCCCCCCACTGACACTGACACCAACGATGGGGCACTATTCCTCCCCCCACCGACACCAACGATGGGGCACTAGTCCTCCCCCCACCGACACCAACGATGGAACACTATTCCTCCCCCCACCGACACCAACGATGGGGCACTATTCCTCCCCCCACCGACACCAACGATGGGGCACTATTCCTCCCCCCACCGACACCAAGAATGGGGCACTATTCCTCCCCCCCCACCGACACCAAGAATGGGGCACTATTCCTCCCCCCACCGACACCAACGATGGGACACTATTTCCCCCCCCACCGACACCAACGATGGGGCACTATTCCTCCCCCCACCGACACCAACGATGGGGCACTATTCCTCCCCCCGACACGGGGCACTACCTCCCCCCCACCGACGAACGATGGGGCACTATTCCTCCCCCCCACCGACACCAAGAATGGGGCACTATTCCTCCCCCCCCCGACACCAAGAATGGGGCACTATTCCTCCCCCCACCGACACCAACGATGGGACACTATTTCCCCCCCCACCGACACCAACGATGGGGCACTATTCCCCCCCCCCCACTGACACCAACGATGGGGCACTATTCCCCCCCCACTGACACCAACGATGGGGTACTATTCCTCCCACTGACACCAACAATGGGGCACTATTCCTCCCACTGACACCAACGATGGGGCACTATTCCTCCCACTGACACCAACGATGGGGCACTATTCCTCCCACTGACACCAACGATGGGGCACTATTCCTCCCACTGACACCAACGATGGGGCACTATTCTTCCCACTGACACCAACGATGGGACACTACTCCTTCCACTGACACCAATAATGTGGCACTAGTCCTCCCACTGCAAAATTACAGTTATGAAGTAGCAACGAAAATAATTTTATGGTTGGGGGTCACCACAACATGAGGAACTGTATTAAGGGGTCGCGGCATTAGAAAGGTTGAGAACCACTGCTCTAGCGAATCCTCTCACATCGTAGCAGACCGACTGTCTAGACTATCAGGGGAAAAAAAATTCCTTGGATGAATCAGATCCCTCCGTCTTTAGCTTTTCCCTGGTTCAGCCTTATGTCTAGGAAATCAAGCTTGCCATTGGTTAGGAAGAAACGGATTCCCCAGCAAAGGAATCAAAGAGTTATTTCCCATGTCTTAGAAAGCAAATCTCCTTCTTTCCTCTGATCAATGAACTCAGGGATGTTATAGAAGGAGAATGGAAAAAGACAGAAAATATTTTCTCTCAATCGCCTGGGTAAGCTATATCTACTGTCAGAAGCAGACTCCAGAAAGTTGGATGGTCCACTGGTAGTGGATGCAGAGGTGGTCCACTTAGCAAAGAACATAACATTACCTATGGATGACTCCACTTTATTTAAAGACCCCCTAGACAGACAAATAGATCTTGACCTAAAGAGGGCCTGGCAGATGGCCAGAAATGCCTGCAAGCTAGAAATTGCGCTGACATCGGTTTCAAATGCCTTGTGAGTATGGGTGGACAACATAGAGGTGGCTATCCAACAGGGAGTTCCCAAGGAAGAGATAGTCAAGGCTCTGTATGAGCTCAAGCTCTCGGCCGACTTCATTGGTGAAGCAGCTATCAATACAATAAGATCTTGTGCAAGATCTGTGCTGCATACAGTAATGGCAAAGCGGGCCTTATGGTTGAAACCATGGGCTTCCCCCAGCCTCTTATCTCAAAATTTCTTTTAAGATTTCTGACAGAAGTCACAACAGTGATAGCAGTCCTACCATACTGGCCAGGACGTCCATGGTTTCCTATAGTGATGTTCCTCAGTATTCGCTCACCAGTAAAAAAATCCCACTTGTACCTTTTCTTCTGTGTAAGGAACAGCACACACATCTGAATCATCACAAGTTTAATCTTCACATATGGTTGTTGAAAAGGAGAGGTTCCAGGCCCTAGGATGTTCTTTGGAAGTTATTTTGACTCTGCTCAAAGCCAGAAAACCCTCTACAATTAATATGTTTGACAAGGTTTGGAACAAGTTTAAAGCTTTTGCAAATAGCAGGAAATTCAATCCAGATGTGCTCTCCATTTCTCAGCTTCTGGACTTCCTTCAGGCAGGCCTTAACCTAGGTCTAGGCCTGAGCAACTTGAAGGTGCAAGTGGCAGCAATTTTTGCGGCAACAGACAAGAGGTGGGCCGAAGGTTCGCTTGTGGTCCAATTCTTCAAAGGCATTACATAGATACGTCCACCTTAAAAAAA